TTGAACAGCTACATTTTACACTATTTATATTTGAGAAAAGAGTTACTTCGATTTTTTGCCTAATGTCCGCCTGGATGCCCACTGTGTATCAGCCTCTAGTTTTTTGCTTTTATCCATGATATTCGAGCGCTTTTTCCTCGGTACAGGAATTTGAGAATCATATGGTTATCGACGTTCATCGTCGATCCGAGGTGGAATCCTCTATCGATAAAGTACGCCGTTCCTATATGAATAAACTAACAGCCACTTCGGCGACCAACACATCAGCCACAACCCTAAGAGTGTTTTTTTCAATCTCAATTATCTAATTTGGAATTTGGAAATAAAAGATTCGGAGGGTTGAGCCTTACAAGTTCGAAACATTGTGCGGTTTTCTTACAAACAAAAGATTTTTTTATATGATTTATTTATGTTCGGAAAAAATACGGGTGTGAAAGTATCAGCAATAAAAGTGGTAGGTCTCATGCGTTCCACTGTTGAAAAAGGTAAAAAAGCGTTTATTATGATCAATGAATATCTCACAGTTCAGCTTGTGAGATCGCTATTCAGTAGAATGACTGCTCAGCTTCGAAAAAGAACTCTGACAGCTCCTACACCATTAGATAAAGATGAAGTCCATAAACTTGGGAATGACGAGTCATTTGACAAAGAAGTGGACGTAGAGTGGAGAATTCGAAAGAAAAGTAAGTTAAGTTAAGTTATTGTAGACCAGCTAGAATCTTTCTCACATGATTTTTCAGCTGGTGATTCGGCAGCCGTTGCCGACGGTCCATCTTGGCTACCTGCTGAGATTTTGCAAACTACGAATGCTGTTCTGAGTTAATTTTTTTACAAAAAATGGTTCAAAGCTTTTACAAACATTCGCGAAAAGTACGTAAGAATTGGGTTTCTATTGATAATGTTTTATGTGAGTTATCTGATCCTACTACGATGCACCACAATATTTTCGAATTTTCGGATGACTAAGTGCAAATCGCAAATAGTAAAGTTTTAGGAACATAAATTGCTGTTTTTCTATGTTCGTGTATTTCTAAAGTTGATTATATTTTATTTCTTTTTGTTCTAAAATATATTTCGCTGCGTTTTATGTCAGCAAAAGACTTTGCCTTCCTATTCATCACTTGCATTTGTCACTTTTTTCGGAAAAATTAGAGCATTATGTGAAACCATAACTCTAGAAAAGCCAACTTGGTGAAAAGACGGTTTTTCGCCTGTTACTGTCAAAAATTAAAAAACCGTATATTTCACTCACTTCTCATCCACAACGACTGAAGTTTTCAGGGAATGATTCGCAAAGATGGTAGAATGTAGATCGAATCGAAATGATCTGATCTGCACTTTGGTTCTGTGGGAGGTTTTCCAGAGATCCGGTAAAAAATCGTATTTATAACTGGAAACCCTATGTGTTCTTTCGGCTCGATCTACATTCTATCATCTCTGCGAATCATTCCCTGAAAACTTCAGTCGTTGTGAAAGAGAAATGAGTGAAATATACGGTTTTTTAATTTTTGACAGTAACAGGCGAAAAACCGTCTTTTCACCAAGTTGGCTTTTCTAGAGTTATGGCTTGATAGAGAATGAAACGAACATGGCCACGATGATCAGCGTGGTCGATTACCTGTGATCCACATGTTTCTGAGATTCCCAGACGTGGCAGCAATGAGATAAGTGTGTCTTTGGAAAAACGTGTGTATCTGCAGAACCAAAGAAGATGAAGACCTGAGCCTTGCATAGTTTTGAAGAGAAATGTTCTAGCTATTATTTTTCTTTTTTTTATTAGCTGCTATTATTTGAGATTGAATGCCAAAGTGTGATTTAGGAACGGTAAGCTTTCGGATTTTGTCTCGAATGGTACACCATGGTGAAACTGATTGAGAGCCCTGTTTTCTATAGGTATGCGTCCTCCGATCTGCTCTTTCGAATGGTGAAGACCATAGGTCTCTATCACCTTTCGCTCAAACGTTATAAGCACTTTGCTATCTAATAGATCTAAACAGGAATAAAAACCTTCCACAGCTCGAAGTTTAGCCTCCCACGGAACGCGATCTACTGAGACAGATAGCCCTTTCAAGGGCAAGCGAATTGTATATAATAAGTCTAGTTTGAGTGAATTTTTCATGGCGATTTTCTCATTTTTAACTCGCGGGACATTCCTGGAGTAAAATGTAGTTGTCGCAGAAACGACTAAAGCTCTAAAATCGAAACTTTAGGAAAATGTTTAATATCACAGTATGAAAACATTGTGAAAAAATGAAGCCAAATGTTGTATAGTTTGGGAGATATCAATAAAATACTTTTGAAAAACTCGCTGGACATTTAGTCTGAAAATAGCCATTTTTAAAAATGTTTTGCTCTTCTCTAACGAAAGACATAATTAAATTAATTTCTTTCTTTTATCAATATGTTACTCTAACTGTGAGCTATCTTTTCCATATTTCCGATAAAGTCTAAGTCAAGTCTGGGCTGAACTACATCGCGCTAATCCTCGGCGGACAAAAAAGCACTGTTTAGTTTGCGATGCCATGGTTAGTGTGAATTTACCTGGAAACGGTGTATGAACTGTGAATTCATTCATCTATTTTAAAAGTACCATGGGACTACTACAATTTATTTTCAAGCAGCAAGTCACGATGTGATCTTATTTGAATAAAAAATTGATTTCATTGTCGCTGGCTGTAAGCTAAAATTATGATTTTCATATTGAATTGCTAATAACTCGATAACCACTTGTAACCTTGAGTTAATTTTTTCAGTGATAGTGAGCATAGTTGAGATCAACAACATATACAACTTTCACTAAGATTCATTCACTAGTGAAAAAGTTACAGCTTATTATAGCCGGAGGCTGACATCTATGTTAACTTTCGGTTAATTGGAAGATCCGAAAAAGAAATATATGTCATAAGAGAGAGGTGGTTAACAAGATCGCACAGTGCACTACTTCTTGAATGGATAGTTTCACGTACAGTCGAGATTCATTCATTGGAGCTATCACAAATGAGACAATTATATCATAATAAAATTGAATTTCATCTAGATGAAATAACAAAAACGGGATAAAGTAATAATGTGCCATTTAAGTTAATATTTCATAGACATGATTAGAGAAAAATTTCCTTGTTTCCATACAGTACCACTTACATAGATAAAACATCACAATTGAGAAAAGGGAAAGGGAAACATTTTAGTTAAAAACAAAGTATTTCTAATATTTGTTTCTTCACATCGAACAGCTACTACTACTTCAACAATAGCTAACTAATTTAAATACTTTAGAGTGCCCTCTTTCAAGTTAGAATAGTATTACAGTCTGAAACAGGCCAGAAATGGTTTCTAGGCCGCTTACAGAAATCGTCCTTGAGGATTTCTCTAGTTTTCTCTTGTTTTTGACCAAATTTATACGTTTTATGCTTATAAAAGTTACATTTCTGGAGGTTATCGACCTTGCTTTATCCGATGGATATGTGCAGTGACATGTGAGGATAAGTTTTCAATGTTTTTTTTCTTTTTTATATAATAGTATTATTGCAAAAAACGTTTTCGTATGAGTTAGTCAATACCCCAGTACACTTTTCGATTGCTAGTTTCGAACCGTGGTTGGTAAATTCATAATCCGTAAGCGAAAACATATTTCTAATGTTATCTGTTTTACACTGTAAACTCCGAGATATTCATTAGCATTGTTGAAACTACTTCAAAATAAGTTTTAAATTGTAAGGTTTTTGGAAAACAAATCAGTGAGGACCAAAATGATCGTCATATCCGGAATCAGGTAATGATGTAATAAGCTATATTTTAGACAAAAAACAAGTAGACACCTCAGAATGGTCTCTCTCTTCGAACTAGAGTAAAAACCACATACCTCTACATATGTTTGCATATAGCTCAGCATATGTGCCACAGGTTCCTGCACATGTCCATCAGATAGAGTATGGTCGATAACCTATAGGTACACTAAACACACAGCTATAACATATATCTTTAAGCAAAAACTGCACTTAATATTGTTTTGTGTTTTTCCAATAGTCCGTTTAATCGGGCCACATTGTGACCGCTCGAAAAGTTATTTTTAAGCGTTTTTGATTTCAACTTTCGGCGTGAGAAGGTTTTCAAAATGAAAAGCTGATCCTTTACATGGGACCTTCAGTCTTTTTCGAATATCCCGAGAAGGCAAAAATATTTTTGGAAAAGAAAATAACGAACCTGAGATACGCCTGAAGTTCCTATGGTAAAATTTTGAGCTCGATCGGACTACTTTTTCGAGGGGTCGTAATGTCGTCTGTTGAAAACTGGAGTTTTCCGGAAAACCCATAGAAGAACACGTCAGAAAATTCTGGGCAAAAATATATCGATTTTCTTTTTTGATGTTCTATCTCTGGTATAAATTTCACCCCGATCCAACATCGGCTTCCCCGATTTTCAAGAGAGTCAGAGAAGAGGGGGGGAGGTAAGGGTCTCGAAGCCCGTTACTATTCTTTTAGTGTAATCTTCGAACTACAGCTGTTAGGTTCAGACTTAATAACATCTAAAATGGCTGCGGTTAGTTTTTCTCTGCGTGTTTCACAACTGTTTAAGTTGTACGCCACAGTTGTTGACGAAATCAGTTTTCGAAATTAGTTTAAGGTGCAGGCAATTCAAACTTCAAGTAAAAATTTTTTTGCCGTTTTTTTTACATCATTTGATAGAGTTAGAGTTGCTGATCACGAAAAACAACTTTTTACCTTACACAAATATCTTTTGCAGGTCGGAAAATACGAAAAAATCGAAGTATGTCGTATTTTTCAAAATACGCCTTATATTTCGGTTCGTGCTTTCTCGGAGTTTCTGAAAATATTTTTTCAGATTCAGCATCAAAAACTGAGCCTAGACGAGTTGTTAAATCGGCTTAAGACCCCGACATCTTTTAACAGTGGCACTCCAAATCACACCGAGTGCAATGCGCATAAGTCGTTTTTGTAAACGTATCAAGTTTTTTTACATAAGCGATGAAGTCAAATGTTTTATCTCATTCAACTCAACATACCATCAGCTAC